TGCTACGCATTAGAAATAAGGCAGCGAACCCCGCACCTGTCCAGGACATGGTGCTCAGGTTGTTACCTGCCGCCAAATGCAATCCTATTTCATACCTAAAGGGCCTAAGCTTTGGAGCCCAATTGCTGTGGGTTCAAACCAAGTTTACAGTCTGTGTAACCTGGGAAACATCCCATAGTCCCTGCAAAGACAAATTTCTCTGTCTTTACAGAGGTTGGACTTCAGTGGCTGGCCCAGATGGAGTACCCACAGGTACCAGCTGCCACATGCCAGCAATGCTGTTTTCGTCACAGTGACACATTTAGAGGTGACACGATGGCTTACTCCCCAGGCACCCCACAAAGAGGACCCTCAATCCACTCCTCCCTGGAGGCGTGTCTGGATCTTACCCACTAGTGAACCTCCACTGCCTTCACCCCCGGAAGGACGGACTTGCCAGTGAAGCAAACTAAGCATGTACCACGCATGCTCCTCACAGCAGGATTTCAGAGAACAGGAAGGTCACGGTGGCCGGGAGCCACAGACGTGGCCTGGCCCCTTGCACATAGCAGGGCTCGGCATACTCGGCCGAATGAACAAACCGGTAAATGAAGGTCTGACCTGAGCAAGGCTTTCATAGAAACCACAGTTACAAACGTCTGCGTTCGCTGTGCATGGACAGGGTACCCGGCACACTCGAAGCACAGGGGAAGGAAGGGTCTTGACCAACTCTAGCAACAGGTTTGGGACTCACCGCCAGGCGTGGGTTACCTGCAGGGGAGAGTCAAGGCACCTCTTATGACATCACATGATTATGGGATCAGTTCAAAGTTGCAAAGGGTCAACCTGCAGATAAGACAGGTTTTGTAGATTTCAAAACATTGACCTTGGGGAAGCCCTTTGGGGCAGAGAGTGTCTTGCAGGCTGAATCCCCCTCCTTGCTGTAACCCATAAAGCCTTATCAACCACTATTTTCTGTCCTATCTTCTGACCAAAAAGAAGGCTCACTGTCCTCCACACCTTACCTGGCATAAACTTGTCAGGCTCCATGAAACTAAAAATTTCCCCTCCCCCCTCTCCAGGTCTTTCACCTGGGCCCCTACCAAGGCCTTCTAGTCCTTCCCCTCACACCACCTCTATTAGTCACTCCACGTTCCAAAGAGTAAAGCTTAACTCCTTGGCCTGACATTTAAAAATGCCTTACAGCCCAGCTGGTGGCTCAGTGGTTGAGTGTTGACCTATGAACCAGGAGGTCACAGTTCAATTCCAGGTCAGGGCATGGGGTTGGGGGCTCAGTCCCCAGTGTGGGGTGTGCAGGAGGCAGCCAATCAATGATTCTCTCATCCCTGATGTTTCTATGTCTCTCTCCCTCTCCCTTCCTCTCTGAAATCAATAAAAATATATTTAAAAAATACAGTCTGCCCTGGCCAAGTAGCTAAGTTGGTTCGAGTGTTGTACTAATACACCAAGGTTGCGGGTTTGATCTTTGGTCAGAGCACATACAATAAGCAACCAATTAAAAGAAAAAGAAAAAAGCAACCAATGAATGCATAAATAAGTAGAAGCAACAAATCTCTCTCTCTCTCTCAATAAAAACAATTTTAAAAAGTTTTATAGTCTGGTCTCTGCCCACCTCCAGCTAGTCCTCCATCAGTATCTCATAGTCCACAACTTTGCCCAGACCTTCCCTCCACAGGGCATGCCCCCTCCTGCTCCTGCCCATCACCACACCACCCACCCTTCCGTGGCAGCTCAGGGGTCCTTTCTCCTGAGACACCCCCACTCCTCACCTCCTCAGGTGCTAAGATTAAACTACATTTTTTTTTATAGCAAAGGTGGAAACTTATTGAAGAACAAGTACAGACTCCCACATGGGAAGAGGAAAGAATTCCCACCGAGTTCCTTTTTCCACAGTTTTTAAAGGCTGCAGCTTTTGTGCCTTGATATCCCCTCTGATTGGCCACTATTCCCCTTTGATCTGGTCACTATAGCAACTCCTGAGCTCAAAGGTCAAACCTCACATGGAACATGTGAGCCCCTCCTTTATTTTGTAAATATAGACCTTTGGCTACTCCCAGTTCCCTTAGGACTCCCACATGGGGAGGGGGGAAGAGTCCCCTGAACTACATTTTTGACACTTCTTTATACTGCATGTCTTTGGAACAATATATCTTTTAAAAACTCCGTGGTTGTAAACACCATTAGATTAGAAACTGAATCATGTATGGTTTTGTGTACCCTGTGGTTCCCAATAAGATATTTTGAATATTAAGGGTATGTAATAAATATTTGCTGGATATATGAATATTTAATTACTTCATAAAAGTTCCCCTATTTGTCATGGAAATGGCCTTCTTCTTCCACAGTCGCAATATAAGTCAATATCTCAGAAGCTTTGGCTGATCTCATTTTCTTGAGCACTGTTATTAATAATTTGCCTTAAAATGCTCATTAAGTGCCCGACATGAAGGTAAGACGTCTGCCTTCCTGTTGATGCTCACACTCAGCCGTAATTATCTGTCAGAAGAGGCATGAAGAGGTGTGGAGATGAAAACTAGAAGGTCAGATGTGCCGCCTCCAAATCCTGAAATGGGGCAATTACCGCAGCCTTGAGTGCAGGGCGTGTGGGGGACACAATTAATCACGTGTGAAGTCATTTGTTCTGAATGTCACAGAATTCAGTCTCCCTCCCCCATCCCAGCACACACACACACACACACACACACACACACACACGCACAATGCACAGGTCTAGAGCTAACCGAAGTCTGCTTGCTCATTCAAGGGCAAAGCTAAAAGGCCCAGATGGACTGCCTGGTCTTCCTCAACATGAGGGTCTCAGCCTAATTCAACATTCCACTCACTGCTCAGGGTCATGATCATGAACATTATTTATTGTGCTGTGCAGTCACGCTGTGGATTTCTCAGAAGCGCTGTGCCTTTTGCTCTTTTGCTAAAATATTTAGTTTCTGTATCTGCTTTTCATAATTTTCCCATCTCTCTCTGACTCTCTGGTTCTCTGTGGTCCTCTCATTAGGCCTGCAGAAGAACCCCCCCCCACACACACACACCCCTATTTGCAAAGAGTAGAAAACTAGCTAACCAAGCTGGTCAGGGCCGTGTCCCAGCAAGATGCATGTTATTAAGACACAGAGCTGGGGGTCCTTAAAGGGGGTCTCAGGCCTCTGCCGATTTGCTCCCCGGCTCCCTAGAAAGTTCAAGCTGTAAGAAAAGAAATCTCAGATTCAAACGAAGGCGGGAGGCCAGCTCTGTGGCGGTGTATCATCTCTACTTTGTGAGCAGCAATTTAATGTCAGCACCGTAGCATCATTCACAGCATTAAATTGATGCCACTAATTTGAATTTTATTGGTTTTGTAGATTTTATTATATTCAGTTGGAAATTTGTTTTGGCTTTATAGCTGCATATAAGCTTTTATGTATTTAAGTAGCATTATAATACTAAAGCCAACACTGGGCATTCATATAAGAAATAATGCAGCCCTAGCCAGTTTGGCTCAGTGGATAAAGTGTTGTCCTGAAGGGTTGTGGGTTCAATTCCGGTCAAGGGCATGTATCTCAGTTGTAGGCCTGATCCCAGTCGATGTGTCTCTCTCATATCGATGTTTCTCTCCCTCTCTCTCTCTCTCTCCTTCTTTCCCTCTCCCTCCCTCCTTTCTACTCTCTCTAAAAATCAATGGAAAAAATATCCTTGGGTGAGGATTAATAACAACAACAACAAAAGAAGATAAACAAACAAAAAAAATAGGTACTTATCCTACTTTTCATGGGCTGTTCTACAATCCTCTAGCAATACAAAAGTCTGGACCTTCAAGTCAGCCAAGGACTCTTACCTTTCATAGAATATATTCAAAGATGATAAGCAACAGATAATTAATTGTATCTTTTAGCATATTAACTAGGTCAAGTTACAAAATTTATTATTTTATGGGACTGAACATCAGCTCATGTAAAAATACTCAACTTGTCCATGTTTGCTCCACCCCAGATGCAGGGCAAATGCTGTGTTTGCAAAACATCCCCTCTTTCACCAGCACATAAACCTGTTCAGACACAAAGATTAGTGGTAGCCTGGGTCTGGGGGTAAGAATGGGGTCTGAATACAAATGGGCAAAGAGGTTCCTTTTTGGGGTGATGGAAATATTCTAAAATTACATTTGTTGTATATATACAACTCTTTAAATATACAAAAAATATTGAATTGCATATACACTTAAAACAGATGAGTTTTATGGTGTGGAAATGATATCTCATAAAGCTGCTCTTAAAACAGAGAGAGAAAAGTGTTCAGTGAAGACATGGGCCACGTGGGAGAAAGCTGGGAGTGGATGCTTCCACCCTCCAGCTCACTCCACAGAAGCCAGAGTTCGCCTTCAGTGCTGTTGGATCTGGAAATACCAAAGTCACTTAGCAGAAGTCAGGGCTCCGTCCAAGGAGCAGCCAAGAGCTCCTCCAACAAAACAAAGTCTGGACCCTGGAGTGTTTGTGTGATGGTTTAATCAAGAATTATAGAAAGTCCTCACTTCATGTCACCAATAGCTTCTGTGACTTTAAGCTAAATGACTATAATGAAACAATTTACCATAGGCTGATGGTTATAAACAAGAATGAAGTCCCCAAGGCGTCTCATCGACATTATAACAAAACTAGAGGCCCAGTGCACGAAATTCATGCAAGGGGCTCAGTCCCCCGCCACTGCAGCTTCATCCGGTCTAATTAGCATATTATGCTTTTATTATTATAGATGGCATTGAATGAAACAATGTTAATCAAGGACCTGCTGCACTTGACCATCAATCCACCAAGGTTTTGATCAGCTGGTGCTCTGTGATCATTAGTTGCCATCCGCAGGAGTAAGTAGATGGAGTTCACGAGGAAGGACCAAGGCTGTGCTCAGCCAACCAAGTTTCCAGCACTCATCCTGTTCTAGTGGCACAGACATTCCCCTTTTCTCCTTTAAGATTCAGCTCAGTGCTCTTAGGGATTTGCTCCTGACTGTCCCAGCCCGCTGCCCTATAGGATAATCCACCCCTTGGATTACAGGTCGCTACTCCCAACATACAGCTCAGCATGGTCCCCTGAAGAAACTGCCCTAACCCGGCATGGGCTTTCTCTGAACACAGAACTACTAACGGGAAGATGAGGGCCAGCCCTGGCCAGCCTTTTCACTAATCCCCCAGTCCCTCAAATCCACACACACATCTGCCGTTAACCATGTGGAGGCTCAGCCACGGCCTGAATCTATGGTGCTATTTGGCCGGCAGATAGCAGATTGTTTAGGTTTTCTAGGTGGGTTTTGTCTCCCTCTGGTTCAGGCCCTATGTCTCCTGAATTGGGCCCTGTCCCGTCCCCTCCCCTCACTCTGCCATTGGCCTCTCTTTTACTGCTCTCACGCTACTTACATCTTGACTCTTCACTTACCTGTTCCCTGGGCCTGACGACTGCATTTCACACCATCACCATCCACACAAGTCCTTCCTCTGTCTGACCTGAGCAGTCGAGAGCAGAGCCACAAATCCTGGCTCCTTCTCTCCTTCACGTCATCCTTCACTTGGGCAGCGACGTCATCCATCCGTGCTTCCGTTTCTGGGTCTGTCGTGAGAATTAAATGGCTTATTAGCACTTTATTTTTAGGCAGTAGATGCAATAACCATGAGCTCTTCCGTGGTCGATGAGCCATCCCATTGCAATGCCTTGGGATCTTCAGGTTCGGGGCACTTTCCAGCCATCTTCCACATCACTGTTTGTGGCCTAGGAATTGCTGTTTTACTGTCAGAGATTTTTTTTTTCTCTTCTCTTTCCTGTTGTTGCCAACATTTATGATTGCAAGGCTGCCAACTCTGGGTCACAAACATGCATCATGTCTATCTGAACCTATTCTACGGCCAGCGGAGGCCGGAGAGGCCAGGCCCTGCCTGCGGTGACTGCAGCTCCCCTGTCCTCTGCTCCGTCCACTCCCTCTCATCTCTCTGTCCAGGGCAGAAGCAAAAGGAAGAGCAAGCATCACATTTGTCCCCGCAAAACCCCTGTGCTCCGCAGGGAGTCATCTCCCCTTCCCAGTCCTAATTCTTTGCCCTTTTAAACCAGAGCTATTATTACTTCTAATTTGCATTGACTGCTCCCTTAGCAACCATCCCACGTTGAATGGGATATCAACCTGCTTCTATTACTGCTAGATTTACCAAATCTTAGCTCCAGCCGAGCACAACTGAAAGTGTGATCAACAGAAACGTAAACAGTTGTCACCGCATCCATATGCATGAATACTCTCCTTTACTGAACAGCTGCCGACAGCCAGGCTGCCTAGAAGGCACCTTCTAGAATGAATCCTGTTCTTCCCTTGCCAGCAATGAAACCCAACCTCATAAATTTATTTACTCTTGAAACATGTTTCAACCCAAAACAGTGCCACTGCTCTTAAGATTTAAAATTATATAACACTTAAATAAGGTAGATAATTTCATAATACTCTTACATATTGATTAAGACTCTACCTTTTCCAGAAAGGACTAAACAGTGGTTTGGTGGTAAACTAGCTCTTTGGAAGGTAAAAAAAAATTTTTTAAAAGACTTATTTTGTAGTGTCTGCCTATATCCATGGTGTAAATACTCCCACTGTGGCTGGTCTCAAGCTATCAACTGTCTAGCAAGGGACACACAAAATTCCTGAATATTTAACAAAGTTTCTAGCATATCACTGGGGGGCAATGTAAAGGATATATCGAATGCATCAAGGTAACAAACCAAAAGGAGGTGAAAAAAGAAAGAATGAGACAAGGATAGAGGTGTAAAATGGAGCGAGGTGTTCATAAATATAAAAATGCATACTATAAAACCTTACACAGGTTCACTGCTGACAGCTGGCTTTAAGAAACTTGCAACACTGAGAGAAGACACTTACCAGGTTCACAGTGTCTTTAAGATGAAAATGAGTCTCGTGATGAGCAGTGCCAGTTTCCTGCTCAAGTGGGTCACGTTTCTCCTGAGGGTGCCTGGGAAGCAAAGACCGTGTCACATAGTGAATGTCCTTATCAACCTCAGCGGGTGGCCTGACCTCGACACTGCAGTGAGGTGAAAGCAACTCTGCAGGATGCTGGGCCCAGCCAGTTCCATCCGGCAGCTGAGCTGTGGATGGAGTCCACAGCCTTTGAGTCATCTTCCCGGCTTTTGCTAAAGACCAGGCCGTGGTAAGTTTGAAATTGCTCTTCCGGGTAGATCTCCTTACTGGAGGGTCTTTCTAGAAAGCCCAGTGTTCACAACATTCACAGGATGGGCTTCTGCCTCAGGGCCCTGATCAACATGCTGGGGTCCAAGAACCACCGCTTCAACCTCAAGTCCGTTCATGTCCCAGCCAGAGCCTTGGAACCAATCAACCCACCACCCTTTGAACCAGCGGTTCTCAACCTGTGGGTCGCGACCCCTTTGGCGGTCGAACGACCCTTTCACAGGGGTCGCCTAAGACCATCCTGCATATCAGATATTTACATTACGATTCATAACAGTAGCAACATTACAGTTATGAAGTAGCAACGAAAATAATTTTATGGTTGGGTCACAACATGAGGAACTGTATTTAAAGGGCCAGAAAGTTGAGAACCACTGCGAACCTTGTAGTTTGAATGGCTGACCACTCCCTTTGAGGGAGAGCCCCCCATTGGTCTGGTTCCCCAGCCCCCACCTGCCCTTGCCAGTCCTCCCCTTGTCGTCCTTGGCAGCTCTGTGGCTAAGTTCTCAGAAGCACAAGCACACACCGCCACCAACTGGCTCCATTTGGGAGGTAAGGGGCTTGCATTTATTGGCATGGGCATGCAACAGTGTTTCTCGGGGTAAGAAACAGTCCTCGGTCACTCAGTTGTCTTGTGCCACCACGAAAAACATACAGGATTTGCCCAACTGGCATGGCTCAGTGGTTGAGCGCCGACCTATGAACCAGGAGGTAATGGTTCGATTCCTGGTCAGGGCACATGCCTGGGTTGCAGGTTCGATCCCCAGGGTGGGGTATGCAGAAGGCAGCAGATCCATGATTCTCTCTCATCATTGATGTTTCTCTCTCCCTCTTCCTTCCTCTCTGAAATCAATAAAAAAAATACATATTAAAAAAACATACAGGATTCAACAAATGGCCTTTGATGTCCTTGTTCCTGCCTTTTCAGGTGGAAGTGAAGACAGGTGGGGAGAGGTGTTAAGCAGTGAACAGTAATTACAAAATGATCACACCTGGAGCACCTGTGCCTCAGGCCACCTTGGTCTGGTTCTCCTCACTGAGGACAAAGCCACAGAAACATAAACAGTTGTCACCGCATCCATATGCATGAATACCCTCCTTTACTGAACAGCTGCCGATAAAGTTCATACTGTGCTCCAAACCCTAGTGAGATGCAGGGGCCCTGGCCTCACCCAGCAGCAGACAGTCTCTTACGACATCTGAATCTGGGTTCAGAAATGGCAAGGTTATCTCCTGGGGCACGGCCCATCCTCACCAGTCAAGATGCCCATTCTTCCACCTGGGTCATGTTACTTGCGAACCCTACGCTGTCTGTGCCGTGGCATCCGGCCAAGCCCATAGCTCTGCAGGGGAACGCAAGGTCACAGTGCTCCTCGGGAAAAGGCATTGACAGAGGCCATTGTCCCACCTCCAGTCCAGCAGGGAAAAGCTGCTGAGGTCAGGAAAGTCATCTGTGTGTCTGGGTGTGTGCGCATGCACTCACGGGGTTTCTTCTTTTCCATAAATTCTGACAGCCTTCTAATAATTGCTTACTTCAGACATAAGTGTCAGCCAGATAGAGGAAAATATAAAAATAGAATAAAAGCATATTTTCTTAAAAGAATTAGACTATTTCTTGGCTGATTAAGAGGAAAAGGTGTCCAGAACCCCTTATGAGCATTCTCTGCAGGAGTGTATTTAGACCCTTAGGATCCTTCTGGAGGAAAGCAATTAGTGGGTACACTGAGTCAAGCACCAGTCTGCTCCCTGGGCATGTGTAGCCAACCTCCCCTCTGATGCACTAAACTCAAATCTCAAACCAGCTATTGATTGATTGATGGATCCTATAAAACTACAAACTTGCGCCTGGCCTGTATGGCAGAGTGGTTGAGCATCGACCTATGAACCAGGAGGTCACAGCTCAATTCCCGGTCAGGGCACATGCCCAGGTTTTGGACTCAATCCCCAGGGTGGGGTGAGCAGAAGGTAGCTGATTGATGATTCTCTTATCACTGGTGTTTCTCTCTCACTCTCCCTTCCTCTCTGAAATCAATAAAAATATGTTTAAAAAAAACACACGCAACTACAAACTTGCAGTAGAGACATGTTACATTAAGGAATATTGTTGTATGGTTTGGCTCAATGGATAGAGTGTCAGCCTGTGGACTGAAGGGTTCTGGGTTCTATTCCAGTCTATGCCCAGGTTGTGGGCTCAATCCCCAGTAGGGGGCATGCAGGAAGCAATCGATCAATGACTCTCTCGTCTTTAATGTTTATCTCTCTCTCCCTCTCCCTTTCTCTCTAAAATCAACTTTTAAAAAATTTAAGAAAAAGAAATATTGTTGTAGTATAAGCTTCCCACCTGCTCATTCTGGAGACAACCCAAAGCAAATTCTTCTGGAGGCCAACAAAAGAGTGTTTTGATAGAAATGACCAGGCCCAACAAGACACAATCTGGCATTGTCCATCCCACATAAATGCACATCCCCAGTTTTACAGTAGCTCTGCTCATGGTAGGTCAAAGTCCTTCCCTTGTTCCCTTTTCATTTGTCAGATGGAGCACTAAACCTCCCTCCATCTTCCACTCCACCTCCCACCCTCCTGTGCTGCCCCTGAGGACGTTGGGTGGGGTCGCAGGCACCTGCATTCAGAATACTCCCAGTCCCCTTGCTGTGGCGTCTAGGTCAGGGATAGGCTCATCAGAGGGAGCTGGCAGTCCCTGCCCCTGCTGAGGGGAGCAGCCTCAAGAAAAATACAACACAGAGGAGGGCCGAGGAGGAGAGACTAAGAAATAGAACCAGAGGCAGCACCTCGGTCAAATTACCCCCGGAGTTCATGAGACACTTGGGTCACAAAACCCAGAGTCTCCTTTAATGTTCAAGCCTGAGCAGTAGATGGGCTTTTCAGCCACCTGCAACCAAGCACATCCCAACTGAAATACCCCATGCCTTTGAAATTATTAAACCATTAATAGAATGGGAATTTCCAGTGTCTTATAGATCAGGCTTTAGGAATCCTGGCTTTGAAAGGTGTTCTATTCAGGCCCGGCCAGTGTGGCTCAGTGGTTGCGCATTGACCTATGAGCCAAGAGGTCACAGTTTGATTCCCAGTCAGAGCACATGCCCGGGTTGCAGGCTCGATTCCCAGTATGGGGTGAGCAGAAGGCAGCCCATCGATGATTCTCTCTCATCATTGATGTTTCTATCTCTCTCCCTCTTCCTTCTTCTCTGAAATAAATAAAAATATATTTTAAAAAAAGAAAAGAAAAGAAAGGTGTTATACTCAGGAAGACAGAACAACCAACGGTGACTGTGTATTTTCATGGGGGTGATGACACATCTAATAATTCATGCATCATTTTCTACTTAATGCTTCTAAGGGGATTAGAGTCGGCTTACAATAAAAAGACCTATGTTTTAGGATAATTACAACAAGAATTAAATATCCAGGAGAGGAGATCAATAGAACAGGAAACAACAGTGAAATATAATTCTCACACTGGAACATACAATTTGTCTCAGAGCTCCGAGCAGCCAAGGTTAAAAAAAAAAAAAAAAGAAAAAAGTAGCTTAATTTTTATATACCTCTTATCTGAAGAAGAAAAACACCCCTGTTTGCCAGAAGATCTGGCACTTTTCCTAGCAGTAAGGATTCTCGAGAGTGGCTGCAGTCAATTTGGAAAGTTTAGGCCCCTGAATGCTGACATTAGCTGAACCACTTCAGCTTATCTGTATTTTGAGGGTCAACAAAAGTGTCAGCATTAATCTAAGCATTGCCAGGATTCGAATGTTACAGATTCTGTCAGAGAAACATTATGTCAGCATTTTCAAGAAAGCACAATGGGCTGCAGTAAATTTCTGAAGAACGTACAGTATGGCACCAGCAGCTCAGGACTGCAGCCAGCAGCTGCAGGAGGGCGCACTGAGGGCTTGAGCTCTGCAGCCCCTCTGCACCTCGAGGACAAGAAGGGCAGGAAGGCGGAGAAGCCCAGGGATGAAAAATGAGAAGGGAGACCACACAGGAGTCCTCAGAGGGCGGCTACATGGCAGGACCCTGATGCAGGCAGCGGGAGAGAGGAGGTATGTTTCATCAGTGTGTGCTCACTCAGGGCTCCACCTTCCCCGAGAGAAATCTACAAACATGGAGTTGTGTTCGCCTGGAAAGAGAAAAGGGGGCTCTGGACTCAATTTGGACTAGGAGACTGTTGTTGGGTAACCATAGCAATCTTTTTTTTAAAAATAATTTTGATTTTATATATAATTGATTTCAGAGAGAAAGGGAGAGGGAGAGAGGGATAGAAATATCAAGAGAATCACACTGGGGATTGAGCCCGCAACCCAGGCATGTGCCCTGACTGGGAATCACACTGTGACGTCCTGGTCCATAGGTCGACACTCAACCACTGAGCCACGCTGGCTGGGCAACAATAGCTAATCTTGATGGAGCCCAACACTCTAGGAGGTAAAGTATTATTGTTATCCCCATAAGAATAGTAATATCCAATGAGGAAAGTGATGCTAATTCATGATGGAGCTCGGGGTCTGATTGAGGTGGTTGCAAAGCCCACTGCTCACCTCTGGTGACCGTGTCCACCCCACACAGCTGCAGGGGACAGACAGTCCCTGTGAGTTGTGACAGCCCTGCCAGCTTGTGTGGCACCTTTTCTCATTCCCACAATATCCTCACTCTACCTGTGGCCCAAAGCGGGGCAGAGCCTTCAACTAAATACAATGGAAGCTGGCGGAGGGACACTGCAGGCTCAGGTCTTAGACTGACAGCTCTGTGAGGCATCCCCCTGCTTCCCTGGGTCCTGGCAGAAGAGACCCGCACACCTGTGTTTTCTACCCTCCCCATCCCCCCAACCCACCCACCCCCACCCCTGTCTCACTTTCCCCTCTCCTGGAATCACCTCCCAAATAAACTGCCGGCAGCAAGCCTGGTGAAAACAAACTTAACCAAGGGAAGGCATCCATGGGAGACATCAGAGATCAGAAAGAACAGCTCGTCAAATTCTTAGCAGGTTCAAACTCTTACTGCTAAAGCCACTGCCCACTGCCCCGCTGTGTCCGGAGAGAGAGGCTGCAGAGGAGGGAGAGGTTCTCAGGGGAAAATGAGCTGCTCAGCCGAAGGCAAACGGTTTCAATGAACAAATACGTCCACTGAACTACCTATTTTCTGAAGGTCGACTTACTCATTTCCCAAGAAGTCATGACAGGAACCACCAGACCGTGGAGTGTTGGACTGTGCGTGGAGTTTGCAATAAATGCATTTCAAAGTCCTCCTTCTCTCGGGCAGTTGTATACAAAAGGCTGAAGAAGTGGGTCTTTGCAGGGCTGCTTGCCAGTTCTCCTAAGTGGAGCACCGGCCCTAGTTGTGAAGCAAGAAAAAAATAACATGTGGACTCTCTTGCGTCTTCTAAGGCTACCGGCACCCATCAAAAAAGGAAGAAAGAGCCCTAACTGGTTTGGCTCAGTGGATAGAGCGTTGGCCTGCGGACTGAAAAGTCCCAGGTTCAATTCCAGTCAAGGGCATGTACCTTGGTTGCGGGCACACTTCCCAGTAGGAGGTGTGCAGGAGGCAGCTGATCAATGTTTCTCTCTCATTGATGTTTCTAACTCCCTATCCCTTCCTCTCTGTAAAAAATCAATAAAATATTTTTTTTAAAAAAAAAATAGGAAGAAAGAAAATAGAGCCTTTGGTTGCCGAGAAGAAATCTAATCTTCTCCAAGTTCTCAAAGATGCCACACTTCCCACCAGCTGTTTGCGAGGTGTGTGCCAACGCGCTGAGAAAGAGGCCTTTCACGGTCGCATCGTATTCACACAACTGTATCCAGGGTCACTTCAGAACCAGGGGTACCTGAGGACAGCAAAGGACTCCACTGCCAGACAAGATGTGGGGCTCCCCCTGAGCAAGGGAAGTCTGAGATTATTTTCTATCCATCATGCTTACCTCAGTGATTCAACTTATGGCCCAAGACATTATTCAGAAAATAATATGCTATTAGAGAATTTCATTTCATGGGACATTTAATGAGAGCGTTCTCCAGCAAGGGAAGGCTAGCCTCCTCAGGCACAGACGGTGAGCGTTTCCACTGATGCTGGTGTTTCTGAGCTGCCCAGAGAAAGAGGGGATCCAGACCTGAGGCCCCGAGTCCTGAGGAGGCTCGCTGGCCAGTCGGTGCTGGTCTCTGAGCTGGACACCCAGGGGGCCTGGAGCTCAGAGTTCCAGGAGGAGGCACTGGGGAGCTGGTGCTAGAGTTGCTCAGAGGGGCAGGATGTGACTGGCTTTGCAAGTGTTGGGATAAGGACAAACAGGATCCAGCTGCCTCCAGGGGAGGCACTGTCACGCCAGCGTGAGGAGCCAGGGTTGGAGTGACTTCCCTAGGAACAGCAAGCAGGGACGGGGGGTCTGAGCAAGTCCCTTCCTCCTGCCCTTTTGCTGGTTCCCCCTATCGGGGGAGCCTAACGGGTGTCAGCTTGAAAAGCAAAAAGGAGCTTTGCAGCGTCCCAGCCCCAGCATCACAGAGCGCAGGATGGGTTTGCCGCTGAGACAACCGCTTAGTAACTGACACAGCACTCTCCAGGACTATCATCCTCAGAATACTAAAGCTCTAATTTGCAAATATTCCCTGTGCTAGCAATTCCGTGAAAAAGTAAAATATCAAGGAAGCTGTGGAGGAGCAGTTGTCTTGTATGATGTCGCCAAAAGTGCGCTCAGCTCACAGGTGGGCTTTGGATAAAAACTGGAGATGGTGCAGGATGCAGGGCCTGCATATTTTACAACTTCTATATCAACCAGGTAGAAGGGTAGGCTGGAGAACTGCGTTGTGTTAGAGATGTACACACAATGGACCATGTTTGAATGCCCCTGGAAAATAAAAGGACACGGGCTAGAAGGGGTAATGGGGGGAGGGGAACATATGTAATACTTTCAACAATAAAGATTAAAAAAAAATAAAAGGACATGGATAACGCGGAAAGGAAGGAAAAGGTAACGTTTTTCATTTAAGAAAATGTTGTCACCCCTATGTTCACAGTAACATTATTTACAAAAGCTAAGATCTGGAAACAGCCCAAGTGCCCATCAGTAGACGAGTGGATAAAAAAGCTGTGGTACATTTACACAAGGGAATACTGTGCAGCAGTGAAAAAGAATGATCTCTTACCCTTCAAGATAACAGTACATTTACACCATAGAATACTATGCCCCTGTGAAAAAGAAGGATCTCTTACCCTTCGAGATAATATGGAGGGAACTGGAGAGTATTATGCTGAGCGAAATAATCCAGTCAGAGAAAGATAAACATCACATGATCTCACTTCTATGTGATCTAATGAACAAAATAAACTGATGAACAAAACAGAATCAGAGCCCAGCCAGTGTAGCTCAGTAGTTGAGCATCAATCCAGGAACCAAGAGCTCACGGTTCAATTCCTGGTCAGGGCATATACCCGGAGTGCAAGCGCAATCTGAAATTAAAAAAAAAAACACAACATCCAGAGGCATGGATACATGGAACAGACTGACAAATGTCAGAGGGGAGGAATGCGGGGGGACTGGACACAGACGGCGAAGGGATTCGCTAAGGAACATACATGCATAGACAGTAGAGTGGGGAGGGCCACGGGAGGAGGGCGAGGGCTGGAGGGAAGTGGGCAAAGTGGGGGGGATGGGGGACATCTGCAATAGTGTCAACAATAAAACACTTAAATTAAAAATATAAACAAAAAAAGAAAGTGTTGTGCATTGTATGAAAAGATGGCTTCTGCACGTAACATGCTCATTTTGAAGAAAGCAGCCACATTAAACTGCCTCAGGTCTGCAGATGCACATTGTCCTTAGTGATCTGTGAGGAGGAGGCAAACAGGAAAGCAGGCCAGTGCCTGGAACTGCTCTGAGCCCACCAGCGCCCCCTCCCAAAGTGAGAATGGCCACTCCTCGGGCCCCCAAACAAAATAGTCCATTCAGGTGAGTAAGGTCCAACACATAGTAAACTTTGGCATTTCTGTTCAAAGGCACGGGACATGGGGATGTAAAGGACTGACATTTATTCATCCAGAACATTTGCATGCAAAATCCCTGGCAAGTCAAGGGGTTACTGATGGTCGAGAAAAGCAAGTCGGCAGATCCTAGGGAACCGGCCTCTGTGAGAAGGTGCTCGCTCACAGCCAGTGCCTGGGAGGGCGAGGACCCTGAAACCTCAGGATGGAAACACGGTGTCTCAGCTTCCCTGGCCTCCCTTCCCACCTGCGGCTGCACTAACCTTTGCCTCCCCTGCAGTCACACGGGAGTCCGTGGCCTCTGGCATGGGTACTGCGTACGGCCTTTCCCTGTCAAATGATGATAAAGAGGGTGTTTAGGTTTAGAATAAGAAAATATGACAGAATTATGGAATAAATGGACAAAAATGCCACAGGGTAAATGCATTACACACTTTCTAACCCCCTCCTGCACTCCCAGCTCCAGCTGCCTATGACTCTAGTTCTGACCCCTGTCTCTTGTTTTTGTTACATTTAGCTTTGGCCACTTGCTTCTGTGCAGGATGGATATTTTTCAAGTTCAAAGTGAAAACTATGCCTTTTATCTCTCTTATAAGGTTTTCCTAATCTTCACCTGGCATTCATGTGCTTCTGGCAACAGATTCTTCTATGCATTGTGACTCGACCCAACTCAGTAAATTTCAATGCTTTGTGGGTGCTTTAATTAGCTTTTGAGGGGGAAAGTAATTATAATGTGGTAATAGTCTTTCAAGAAGTCAGATACCTCTAGGATATCCTCCCTCCTCCGCCCCTGCAGACAAAGAGCCGAGGAACTTGTGGAGTCTCAGGCAACTGGTGAAGCCCCAAATGGCATGCACGACTTCGGTGCACGTAAGGGTGCTTCTGTGAGAGGAGTCTACTTCCCTCAGCGTCTCAGAGAATTTCTTCACCTCACAGAGGTTGCGAGTCCTGAGCCTGTCTAAAATCTGTTATATAAATAAATGGAAGAAAATTAATAAATGAATAAAATGGTATTCTGTCTGGCTTTTGTTGTCCATTTAATTTCCTTTCCCCACCCCATTCACCTTGCACCCCTCCCCTCCTCCCACACACACATACACAATTAGTTTCTTTAATCATTAATAGCCAGTCACAATTTTTCTAAACTATCACTTTGGGGTTCAGCCAGACCCTTTCGAACCACACACAAGTCAGTGGCTGACCTGCAGATGCCACCTTCCCTGGGAGGAATATTCTGGGGAACAACTGTCTCCATCTCACACATCCGCTCGCCCTTGTGTGAGATGGAGACAGTTATTCCCAGAATATTTAGGGAAAGGCCCCTCATGCTGCGGGTGGGAGGGAGTTCAGGAGAGGACAGTGAGTCCTACATAAAGTCAGAGCGAGAGGGGACAGCAGAGAGAGGCCTTAGGAGGCAGTGGGTAGAGGAAAGAAGAAGACAGGAGGTCTGCCTGCCGGGCACCTCTCCGCCTGCCCAGCTGAGCCTTTGGGCAGCAGCCCCACACAAGGCCAGCCTAACGCCTGACATTTACACAGAGATACACACCACTGCCACCTTCGGAGGCCCACCAGCTCCTGCCCACAGGTTTATTCATTCAATTAGCCAGCACCTTGGAGACCCAATTGTGTGCCAGGCGCTGTACTAGGCACTGAGGATCAAAGTTTAGTAAGTGTGGAGTCTGGAAAGATGGCAAACAGACACACACGTGGAGGTTATGGCGCAACCCTGTAGGGACTATCACCAAAACAGGACCAGGGTCCTGGCAACACAGC